CCTTGTTTGTTTTTTCTGGTTGTACAGTAGTCTTAAATATGGATGTCCCGCAAGTTATTAACCACGCTCCTCTTGATGGGCATGTAGTCTATTCCGAATCTTTTGTCGTTTCGTCCAGTGCTGTAGTAAATTCCTAGGGCTAAACTTCCTCGGTCATGGAGCATGTGCATTTGTAATTTCAATGGACATCACTAAAATGCCCTCCAAAGTATTGGCTCATTTTACACCCCACCAGCAGCGTCTGTCAAATTATCATCGGCAGGGATTTTAAGACATTTTTTGTTTTACTTTTTTTTGTCATTCCCAAGTAATAAATGTTCACTGTTAGAAGTACAGAAAATACAGGAAAGTACGAAGAAGAAAGTAAAAACATTTTTAATCTTACATAATGTAACCATTCTGTATATATCTCAGTATTATTTGTATGTATATTTAATATCTGTATATACATACATAATTTTAGAAATATCCTACTTTTGTTGTTACCTGATTTTTTTAAACAGCCTTACTGAGGTATAGCTTACATATCATAGAATTTGGTCATCTTAAGTGTACAGTTCAATGATCTTTAGTAAATTTATGACATTATACAGCTATTACCATAACCCACTTTTAGACCATTTCCCTCACCCATAAAGATCCCTTGTGCTCATCTGTAGTTGATTTGTTACCTGATTTTTTGCCATGTTATTACATATTCATTCAGCAAATATTTACTGAGTGTCTACTCTGTGCCAGGCAGTAATCTGGATGATAGTTTATAAAACAGATAAAAATCCTTGCCCTCTTGGGGCTTGCATTTTATAGAGCTAACTTTGTATTCTTCCTTAACATCAGTTTAAATAATGACATAGTATTCAGTATATGGGTGTGCTATGCTTTAATAATTTCCAAGAAGGTGGACATTTCGGTTGTTTTCATTGTTTTGCTGTTGTAATTGAATATACTTAGGGATAAATTCTTGAGCCTGTATCCGTGATAGAGAAGAGTGCAGTCAAGAGAAATGCCTGTCGTGAGGCTCTTGTCATACTTGCGTACCAGGAATACAGGAGAGCGCCGCAGTCCCTATAGCGCTACCAGCTGGGTTTAAATCTTGCCAATTTGAGAAAGAATTTTGTCTCATGTTAATTTTTATTTGTTTGTTTATTGATGTTGTTAAGCACTTTATCTGTGTTTCAAGACTATTTTAATTTCTTTTTTTGAAGCATCTGTTCATAGTCTTTTGCCCATTTTTCAATTGTTAAATTTGCTTTTATTGATTTATAAGAGTTTTATACTTCACCATATGTGTCGTATTTTTCATAATTTGTCTTGTTCATTTGTTTTTGGTCAAAAGCCATTTTTTAGATGTGTAAAAGGTCTTCTGTAGTTAAATCTCTGTTTTTCCCTCTGGTATCTGTCTTTGTGTGCTTAGTAAGACCTTCTCTAGAAGTTTTTTTGGGGGGTATGTGGTGGAGAAGGGCTCTAACTTTATATATTCGTATTATCCAAGCAGCCTCTCTTTCAAAAATTCTTACTTTTTCACTGATTGGAAATGGCCCACAGGGCCCATCTGGTCTGACTTCCACCTACCTTGACAGCCTCATGAGGCCTCTGTCCTTCCCCTTGCTCCTTCCCCCAGCTGTACCACAATTCTCTAACACCTCTTTCCTTCCTGCTCAGGCTCTCCTCTCTTTGTGTCATTCCTTTTGTCTGCAGCACCTCCCCACTCCCCATTACAAAAGATCTCATAGCCCTTGTCATAGTTTATAACAAGAGAATTTGAGCTCACCTGGACCCCTTGTGCCTGGTGCGGGGAAGAAGACAGTATATACTCACAGTGAATGAATTCTAGCGTGATCATACATTTTGACATCTGTATGTTTGGCTGTTTTTTTGTGGTGTTTTTTTTTTTCTAAAATGTCTTCAGTATTTATTCTTCTAGATCTACACTGTCCACAGTGTGGTAGCCACTGGCCACATGTGGCTGTTGAACACTTAAGTGTGGTTACTTCAAATTGAGATGTGCTGTAAGTGTAAAAGACACATCAGATTCCAAGAGTTAGTATGAAAAAAAATGTGAAAGGTCCCATTAACTTTCTAATAACCTAGTTATTATAATGAGTTATTAGAGTACTTAACTAGGTTAAGTAAAAATGTATAAAATTTTAATATTTTTATTGTTAATGGAACTGCTAGAAAACACTACACAGGTGGCTGGCATTATATTTCTGTTGGACAGCAGTGTTCTAAGATGAATTTTAAAATCATTTTGTGAAGTCACTAAGGAAGTACTTCATTGGACTGCATTATAGTCATAAATTAATTTTGGGGGAAAGTGTCTATAGCATGGAATCTTTCTGAAGCGTGATATGTATCTTCATTTATACATGTTTTTGTCCTTATTAAAGTGTTACAGTTTTCTTCTTGTAGATCCTATTTTTTGTTTCTCACCTAGGTATTTTATAGTTTCTGTTACTATTGTTGGTTGTGACTTGTCATTATCTTACCTAACTGGTTTTTTATGTAGAATAATTTTTGAAACGCTTCATTTGCTAGTTCCTGCTTCTAAACAGATTTGTTCCAGTGATTCCCTTGTGTTTTCTGTGTAAATAGTCCTGTCTGCCTTGAATAGTAATTTTACCTCTTCTTTTTTAATGGCTCTGTGCCTTAATTTTCTCTTGTCTGTGGCTTTGGCTAGAACTTCCAGAACAATGTTAAGTAAGAGAAGTGATGGGCAGACAACCTTGTGTCCTCCTAGGGACTAACGGGAATGCCTCTACGAAAGTGTTTACTGGAGTGTGCACCAGGGAACACTAATTCTTGGGAATATTTACATGTGTACCTTGAGAGAAGAGTTACACGCTTAAATGAGTGTGCAAACTGCTGAGTTAAATAGAATTCTTGTCTGCAGGTGGGTTATTATGCTAATATATTGTATAATCCCTAGGAGGTAGGGATATTGAGTCTAGCGCATGGGCTTGTGTGCTACTAAATACATTTTGGGAAATGCAGATATGATGTTTCCTTTCTAAGGATGATGTTGCCATTGGCTTTGCAGTAGGTACTGTTTATTACATTAGGAAAATATTCTCTTCCTATTTTTTCCTTACTTTGAAAAGGCATTTAACTTTCTAAAATCCACTTTTGGCATAGTTTTGATTTGGCCATATGGTTTTTCTCCTTTGACTTACTGATGTGGCAGATTATATTTATACACTTCCTAACATGTAGCCATCCTTACATTTGGTCACAATATATTATTCTTTTAATAGGTTATGTTTCCGAGTATTTCCTTGAGGACTTTAAAATCTCTTTACTTAGGTAAAGTTGACAGTCGTCATCTTTATCCTATTCACCATCTTCTGGTATCAGATTTATGCCATATAAATTGAGATGCTTTAATTCTTTTTTTTTTTTGAGATGCCTTAAATGTTTCAGCATGCATCTAAAACAGTGTGAACGGCCTGAAGATCATTTATGCTTTGGCACTTCTGTTTCTTTTTATTTAATTCTGCCAATTTATGTTATTCTAAAAATATGTCCGTTCCGTACAGATTTCAAATTGATTTCAATCATAAATCTAGGATAAATAAGGGCACAGTATTCCTCCTTAACTGAAATGTTTTAACTCAGATTCTGACATGATAAAAAAAATTCTGGTGTGATCTAGTCACACTAACTGGTTGATCCTTTCCTGCGGGCGTCAGATTTAATTGCACGTTGTTGTGTCTTATCATTTTAAATTTTCTCTGCAATTATATGCTGTTCTGTATTCATTACTTTTTTGCTTTCTTTGGGTCTAATTGGTTGTTTTCTGACCTCTTTGATTTCATTTATTTTTCTTCTTTGTTGTTTAATGATAAAAACTTTTAAGGCACTGACTTTCCCTGTTAAAATTTATGGTTTCAAAATCCTCAACATTTCATTTTGAAAAATTTCAAATATACAGAAAAGGTGGATTTTACAGAAAACACCTGTATACACCCACCATCTACGCTCTACACATTCCTGTGTTTGCTTTATCACCTATATATCCATCTCTTTTTGGGGATGCATTCTCAAGTAAGATGAAGACCTACTTAAACTTTACTCCTGAATCTTTCTTGCTGCAGATTTGATGTGAGTTTTCTTTTTTTCTAAAGAGTTTTATTCCTTTTTGATTTCCTCTTTGATTCAGTGCTTGTTCAGAAGGTGCTTAAATTTCTATTGGTTGAATTTTAACCACTAAAATATAATTATTAGATCTGATTTTGTTGTGTTTTGGTTAGAGAGTGCAGCCTAGGCTGTATCCACTTCCATGGTTATGAGCGATTTGGTGCCTTGGGTTCTTGTGAAGGGCAGCCAACCTGTCCAAGGTGTGTGCGCGCGCTGTGAGCACTGGTGGACAGTGATATGCTTGTGATATGTCCATCACTCTTGGTGCTTGTCCTGTCCAAAGCTCTTCACTGAAAGGGTCAGTTGCCAACCCCAAAGGATATAAAGGCGTGCAAAACTGAAGGGGAAAAAAACGCACATCAAGACAACTCAGATTCTAAGCTAAAAAGGGTTGAGCTCCGTTCCGTGTATCCCGTGTGCTGTCTGCTTGAAAAACACCCATTGGAAACATACTAATAAGGCAGAACTTTTTTAGACGAGTTGGCATATTTTTTACAAAGTATTCCAAATCCTCGGAAGTAGGTGAAACAGGGAAATATTTTTCCTAAAAGGATACCAAATTCTCAATCAGCTGAGAAGGCCCTGCTATCTATAACATGTTATAATTTTGACGAAGATGCACGTTAGGCAGCTGGGGCGCTAGGCTGATTGATCTTTAGGTTATCTGACTTGAGGTGAATTGACCAAGACCAGTGGGAGACTGAAAATAAGCAAGAGGAAGAATGCCCAGGTCGACCCTCGGAGGCCCAGCAGCTGCAGTGGTGGTGGTGATGGTGGTGGTGTGATTTTTGCAAGCTTGTGTTTATGCCACTTGTACTGAGTGAGGAGTCACTGGTGAATTGTGAAACTCTCTCTTTCTGCAGATTGCGCTTCATGTCAGTAGAAATGGACAGCAGCAGTTTTATTCAGTTTGATGTGCCCGAGTACAGCAGCACTGTTCTGAGCCAGCTAAACGAACTCCGCCTGCAGGGGAAACTATGTGACATCATTGTCCACATTCAGGGTCAGCCATTCCGAGCCCACAAAGCCGTCCTCGCTGCCAGCTCCCCCTATTTCCGGGACCATTCAGCATTAAGTACCATGAGTGGCTTGTCAATATCCGTGATTAAAAATCCCAATGTGTTTGAACAGTTGCTGTCATTTTGTTACACTGGAAGAATGTCCTTGCAGCTGAAGGATGTTGTCAGCTTTCTGACCGCCGCCAGCTTTCTTCAGATGCAGTGCGTCATTGACAAGTGCACGCAGATCCTGGAGAGCATCCATTCAAAAATCAGCGTTGGAGATGTTGACTCCGTGACTGTCGGCGCTGAGGAGACAACCGAGAGTCGTAATGGAGTTAAGGACAGCAGCTTCTTTGCCAACCCGGTTGAGATCTCCCCTCCGTATTGCTCTCAGGTACGGCAGCCCACCACGAGCAGCGACCTTCGGATGGAGACAACGCCCAGCAAAGCTCTGCGCAGCCGCTTACAGGAGGAAGGGCACTCGGACCGAGGGAGCAGTGGGAGCGTTTCCGAGTACGAGATTCAGATAGAGGGGGACCATGAGCAAGGGGACCTGCTGGTGAGGGAGAGCCAGATCACCGAGGTGAAAGTGAAGATGGAGAAGTCGGACCGGCCCAGCTGTTCCGACAGCTCCTCGCTGGGGGACGACGGGTACCACACGGAGATGGTGGACGGGGAGCAAGTTGTGGCAGTGAACGTGGGGTCGTACGGCTCCGTGCTGCAGCATGCCTATTCCTATTCCCAAGCAGCCTCACAGCCAGCCAGCGTCTCCGAAGCTTTTGGAAGTTTGAGTAATTCCAGCCCGTCCAGATCCATGCTGAGCTGTTTTCGAGGAGGGCGCGCGCGCCAAAAGCGGGCTTTGTCCGTCCACCTGCACAGTGATCTGCAGGGCTTGGTGCAGGGTTCCGATAGCGAAGCGATGATGAATAACCCCGGGTACGAGAGCAGTCCCCGGGAGAGGAGTGCAAGAGGGCACTGGTACCCATACAATGAGAGGTTGATCTGTATTTACTGTGGGAAGTCCTTCAACCAGAAAGGAAGCCTTGACAGGCACATGCGGCTCCACATGGGCATCACCCCCTTTGTGTGCAAGTTCTGTGGGAAGAAGTACACGCGCAAGGACCAACTGGAGTACCACATCCGGGGCCACACCGATGACAAACCATTCCGCTGTGAGATCTGCGGCAAGTGCTTTCCATTCCAAGGTACCCTCAACCAGCACCTGCGGAAAAACCACCCTGGCGTCGCCGAAGTCAGGAGTCGCATCGAGTCCCCCGAGAGAACAGATGTGTACATGGAACAGAAACTAGAAAATGATGCATCGGCCTCAGAGATGGCCCTAGATTCCCGGATGGAAATTCACACAGTGTCTGATGCTCCTGATTAAGATGGTAACGAAGTGCACCCAAACAAAGCACATTAATCAATGCATATTTGTGATTTGCTTTGTTGTAATCTTTGGTTTTCCCAACCATCTGGAAATCTCTCGGTCTCTTGGCAGTTTTTCGAAGGTTTCTGGAAGGAACACTTCATTGTGTTTATCCTTTCCCCCTGCCCTCCCCCTCCCAAGGAGCTCAAAGCATGAAGGGCAACGTATCCAGGGAAAACACAGGCTGACAGTATTCCTCTTTGGCTGAACTCTTAATCCAAAATCTGCCAGTGATTTAGCTATGCCAACTGGTTGACCCTACATTCTCTGCCAAGAGGCATACTCTCTTCGTTGTGTGCACTCTGGCACTGGTGCATTTCCATGGAGAGAGACCAGGATGCCGTCAGCTGATACAAATGGGTAACCTTTTCTAATTTAAAATTACTTCTAGGGGGTAGTTAGACAATTTATATATATATATATAATAAAGCGATTATTATATATATAGTATATATACATTCTCAAATTTGATTTTATTCTGGTTGAGGTGAATGTACGAGGAATATATAATTTAATACAATGTGAACAGGGCTTTTGACTCTGTCTCGTCCCTACCTGATGTTAGGGTTTTGCCCCTTTATTTCCCTTACAAAAGAATGTTCATAGGTTTTCATATATAGTAATCATTGTGTCCAAAAGCAAGCAAAGCAAATCACAGTGTTCATAGCTCTGCTTCATAACAAGTACATAAACCAAATGCCATAAAATGTATTCAACTCTAGTTGGAAACCGTTTGGAATTTTTGTTCGTTGTCCAGTAGGTAAGCTGGATGACCCGTGGTGCTGACCTTTTTACATATTGTAGTGTTATATTAGCCAACCCCAAAGGAGCAGTGGTTTTCAATGTTTTTACTGGCTTACGAATCTACCTTCATTCCGTACTGTAGAAACATACATACCAGGTAACTAAATCGAATCACTCTACCATGAGTTAGTACTCGCACTAAAGGAAAGGGATTTGTAGTTCTGTCTACAAAATTCTCCAAGCAGTGTTGTGGGTTTTTTTGGTTTTTTGTTTTTGGTTTTTTTCCCTCTCTCTCTCTCTCTCTCTTTTCAAACAGCTAGTTCAGGTGCACAGCAACTTTTCTACATGCAGTTCCCAGGGAAACTGCAGAACTTGGAATTTGTACTTTTTGTAAAGATATACTCTATGGGAATTGCAAGCAATATCTCTATCTTAGTATTGTGTGTGCTCACGAGAGCAGTGGCTCCCCCACTCTCAGTGTTTCCTGCTTAAAGAAACCAACAGTCCAAAAGCCCTCTACGATACTCTGTGTGTCACCAAATCTGTGTGTGTCACCATTTTTTTGGTCACGTGGTGCTATTTCTATGTTCTGTATCTTTTAGGTCAGTATAGTTGTAGAAAATGTGAAGTCTAACGGTCATAGTGAATTACAGGTTTTTTTTCCCCTCTCTTGAGTTTGTAGCTTGAAGAGAGACCTCAAAATCATGCGCTGGCAAACACATTACTGTACGAGAACACGCCTGAGTCCTATTTGAGTAACGTTCTGTGAGCGCTTTAGGAGATGTCTTCAGTTCTGTGTTTTGTTTACCCGTGTGCTCCTAGTAAACCCAACGGGCTTGCCGAGATTTCTTCGGGCCGTGAACTCCCCCGGAGGAGTCTCGTCAGCAGTCGGACGGCGCGTTTGTGCCGCAGGCCGCCCGCGGAATCTCTGCGCGAGAGCCTTGGCCCTGAGACTCGCAGCCCGTGTGTCTCAACGGGGGAACAGCACAAACCACCTAAAAGCAACACAGACACGGGAAAGACCAACCTCAGAGGCTAGGAGTTAAAGGAATGCAAAAATAGACGTTTGCTGGTTTTCCATGCTTTTTTGGCTCTTAAAATAAATACCAAGAGTGGCGGGGGTCCGGGGGGCGGGGTGTTCCGGGGAGGTTTTTGTTTCGTTTCGCTTTGTTATTTCGAGAAAAGAAAACCATCCGGGCCCTTGTGTGTGATGGCCCCCGGGGGTGGGAGCCGTGCGGTAGCATCTCGTTGGCACCCAGGATCTCTCTGTTCCCGTGTGAGCCGCTGCGCCACGCGTCAGTGTTACGACGGACAGATCACACTCTAATCCTGCTGCTCCCGAGGAGCAGCTTTTGCTAAATCGGGTATACGGTATGCCTTTTCCTGTCAAACTGCCTAAGTAAGGGGTGCGTTCTCTCCCTGAAGCACTTGCTCAACTCCTGTCAAAGCCGCGTGCCTCAAGGGGAGGCTGGACCCCAAGTGTTTACCCACTTAAATATGTTCTGGGGTTTCAGGTAAATGTTTGTGATTTTTTTTTTTTTTCCTTACATGAGTAAGCTTGGTTTTGATTTTTCTTTTCAAGAATTAAATGCAAAAAATTTGTGTGGTGATACAAATTAAGTTTGTGACAAGAAATGCCCAAATCAAGGACATGAGAGGTCAGGCTCAGGGAAGGAACCTCCTTTTCACTCAGGCTTGGGGCCTTCTGAGGGGTCTCCAGAGCATTCCGTGATAGGTGAGACAAGTCAGGAGGGGAGAGCACTTGGGGCAGGTACCTCGAATATCCTAGTTCTTGTCATTGTGTCCGTCTTAACCTTATTTACATGGAGTTCTTTGTATTTGTCAATTTGTTTAACTGGTTTGAGTTTACCAAAGAGTGACTTATCCAAAATTGTCTTTGACAAAACTATACATTGCTTTGATTGTACAGTTCAGGTTCAGACATTGTAATGGGACTGTTAAGGGGCAGAAAATTGATTGAGTTTCTCTCTAATAACCATGATTCCACATCTTGCAAGTTCCACTTGCCTCCCATTCATGTTGCTAACACTTTACCCTTTCCACTGCTAGCAGTGTTAAGAATGAATTCTCAAGCCATAACCCAGTACTGTAAGGTTCCACAGGGCTTCGAGGAGGCAGAGCGGAGGCCAGCGCAGAGCTGGGCAGCCTCTCTGAGCGAGCACGCCGTCGTGCTTCTCAGTGTGCGTGGCGGGTGGAAGGTTAACTCCATTCAGATCGGGCAGCAGCAATTAATTGTGCCTTGTCACATGAGGACGTGCCAGGAGGATGAACATGGCCACAGAACAGAAACATTCTCTCCCCGAAGGTCCCTTCACGTCTCCGCAGACGAAGTTCGCTGTGTAACTCCTGAGAGCAACTCTTTTTGGAAAGCAAAGTCCCGATTTCTGTACAGTTTTAGGTTAGATGTTTCATTTATAACAAATGCAAAAGTCAATTAAGATAGAAGTGATATGTGAAGAAATCTTTTACAGCAAAACATATCCTGAATTCATATAGGTCTGTTCATAATTGAGTCTCTTCTCGAGCTACCTTTCCCAATACGTAGACAATGTGAAGACAGTGACGGCGTCCTTTCTAGGTGTTTCACCTGTTACTACAAACTGTGAAAACAAAGGATTTTATACTTTTACTAATGTTTGTGGTTTTAAACAGTTGTTTTCATTCTAATCAGTTCTCTCCCCTCTAATTTCTACTAAAGCTGTAAATACATTTAGAAATTATATTTGTAAATACAGCATATGAAGACAAGTTAATTTTTTGGTCAGTGGAAAGCCTCCCAATTGGCTCTGCCTTGGCAGTTTTGTTTTTTTGTTCGTGTGTGTGTGTGTGTGTGCGCACGCGTGTGTGTGTTTTAACAGCAGAAAGGATACTGTCGGTTCACTGTTAAGCAGAATATACTGTAGAACTAAATTGATAATTTTCCAGCTTCCAGAGCATGAGTAGATGTCTTTTCTCATGATAGCAGTTATAACCAAGTCTTTGTTTTTCCCTTAGCCCAGACCATAGGCCTGCATATCTTTGTGTGTGGTTTTTGTTTTTACTTTTATTTTTCCAGCCTAGACTCTAGGAAGAACTTGCAGGAACACAAAACAAGGGCTGGGGGAGGGGGAGGGGGTGGGAATCATCTACGTGAATGAGCTTTACTTTAAAGAAATCAATGTATTTTATTTTAACAACTTTTTCTATTAGTTACTGTGATTTTTGTTGTTGTCTTTGTTATTGTTAAATTCTGTAATGGTTTCCTGTGAAGCCTCCACTGAAAGGGACTCAAATATGCAACACCTAAACTATTTTCCAAGGGCACACGCCCCTTGAATGGTGCTTCTAGACTGGTCAGGGTTATTTATTAAATTTTATATATGAAAGTATTGGGGAATTATGTAAATTCTTTATATGAAACTATCTAGTTCATAAATCATAGATTTCATATTACTCAGTGCAACTGAACTGAACGTTCAGAAGAGTCATTCACATTGTTCCAAATTTGTAATGGTTGTCGCACGTCACATACGTCTTCTTCAGTAAGTGCCAGAGTGTTTCCACTGTTTCTGCCCGGTGCTCGACTTCTCGGCCCGGAAGAGGACCTTGTTTTCCCTGGTTCCCCTCTGGGCCTGGCACACAGGGCTCCTGTAGTTCTTGGTCAAGTCCTGGAGCGAGCCCTGCCGCAGACGCAGTAACCAGACCTCTTGCTGCCCCTCAGTGACAAGTATGCTGTGAATTCAACCTTTGGACTTGCTGCCCAAGCCTTTGGTTGCTGCCCTGACTATAGTAAGAGGTAAACTTACCTGGTTTCTTTGAGAATGACCATTTTCCTAATGTGAAAACCATCTCTCTCACCACTTTTATTAGTAGGGCTAACATTTTTTTCCGTTATAAATGGTTGAGCAATTTGAATGACTTAACACAGTGTCATTATCTTGCAATATAAACTGGTAACCTCACAAGCCCACACTTCATCACCATATGAAGTAAATGAAGCTAGCTAAGCGGATGCTGTATCAACTAGTAACTTGCCATTAAGGATTATTTTATAGCATGAATTTAAGACTATTTATTCAAATGATATTTTACTCTTGTATTCATTTTGTTTTAGATTTGTGACATGAATATTTCAGTGCTGCTTAATTTTGTTCTGAATTCTTGTTTCTTGCTTGTAAATGGCTTTTTTATGGTATAAAGTCAATGGAAATTGCTGTTTGTAAATAAAAATGCTGCTAGAGCAAATGGGCTGCGGCCTCCCTCTGTGTTTGCCTCTCCAGCCTCCCTGAGCCCCACTGGCTCTACGAACGTCTGCCGTGTCATAATTTCTGTAACCGCTGTTTTTGAGAGGGGAGGATTTCATAAGAAGCTCTTATGCCACCCTAGTGCTGGGAAGACGACAAAGGAGCAGGTGTATTTCTATATACCTCCCTCGGGTGTGGCGAAGACCGATTGTCAGGGGCCCCCCATGTGCGCACAGTCTCCCCTAGAAAGAATCGCCGGTGACGCCTGTCCCCACTTGCCTGCAGAAGCTCCCCCTTGGCTCCCTTGAATGTGCCGTGTTTACTCCCGCCACGGAGCGTGGCGCTGTACGCGTCGTGTCCGCCGTCTCCAGCTTTCTTCTCCCCGTTAGCCGGTTGACTCGACTTCAGATTTCAGCCTCCCTCAGTCAGGGAGCCCCTGCCTACAGCAGCAGCCCTTCTAGATCGAGCCCCTTCACCAGGCACGGATCGAGCAGCGTGCCTTCTGCCCTTCAGAGCAAGTATTTCAGCTGGTAATTGTATATTGATGAGTGAGATTGTTCAGCTAATGTTTCTCCCTCTAGCCTGTAAGCTTCGTGACAACAGGGATCCAGGACTGTCTCCCTCACCTGTGTATCCTTAGCACAGGACCCGGCACCGCACCAGTAGGGATCGAACGAATGAGCAAATGCGTGTATTCTGGGAGGTTTGAGCGCGGCAGCGTGGCTGGGAAACAGGCAGGGATTAAACTTGGCTCCTAGTCTGCTGGAGCTGCCTGGGTCCTTGCTCCTTACTGGAAAACGGGGCCTCCCTTCTCAGGAGGGCTCCTCTTCAGTCCAGTGGGCAGGGAGTTGGCCCCTCGTGTAAAAGCTCCGTGTAGGGACCAGCTTCAGGTGCTACCTGGGGACGGGGGGACTCGTGAGCCACTCAAGGGCGCGTTGGAGAAAGTGCATCAACTTCAAGTCTGGAGGTCTGGTTCTAGCCGGCCTGTGCCTGACCGTGATCTTAAGCAGGTCCCTCACCCTCTTTAGTCCCAGTTTATCTATAAAAAGATGGAGTTGGGACTCTCAAGGCTCAGATAATTTGTGAAGCAATGGCTTCCCATAGGCTTTCTCCTTAAGGCTGGAAAGGCAGCCGAAGGTCAAGAGTCAGGGGCGTTCCTCTCTGGTAGGGGTAGAGGAACATCCCGAGGGGGTGAGGTCCTGGAAATGGGAGCACCACGTGAAGCAGATACACTGAGTTGGAGCCGGGGCTGTGTAGACCTCAGTTGAGCTGCTTTGCTGACGAAGGCCACGGGCAGTAGCGGGCTCTTTTCATTCGCCCTGAAGGCACGATCTGTCTTCACTTTGGTTTCTTCCCATTACAAGTCACACAACTGGCTAAGCCCTCCTGGCTTCAGGGATGTTTATAATGTCCTTTATAATGTCAAAGGACAACCACCAATCCGTAATTGCTTGCTGGTTTTCATCCCTGTTCCCTAGGCCATTTCCTTGAAAGCCCCTCAGGGCTGAGTGACTTTTATGTTTAACATCTTGTGATATTTTCCTTGTTTTTCACAACAGACCTGGCTTGCACACCTTTTGTCAGCAAAACTTTTCAGAACACAAATAGCAGAAAGAGGCCACCTGGAAGGAAACATGGCAGAACCTCATCAGCTTGGGGTCCTGCCGTGGAGCCCTCACTGGGTGACTGCTGTGGGCTGCTTGGCAGGAGGTTTATAATAAAGCCTGTTGACCTAGCTGTCAGCGGTCAAGAACGTACTGTTACTCTAAAGGGGTTAAGGGGGAGGTTTGTCTATGCTAACACTGGATTATAATGCGGTCACCCGCAGGGCAACCTGCTTGGGTCTGCGGGGGCAGAGCTGCGTCCCTTTCCGGTCCAACTCTGAGACAGCAAATAGGTTCCCTGCCCCTCATCTTTTTTTTTTTTTTTTTAAGATTTTATTTATCCACTTGACAGAAACACAGCGAGAGAGGGAACACAAGCAGGGGGAGTGGGAGAGGGAGAGGCAGGCCCCCCACGGAGCAGGGAGCCCGATGCGGGGCTCGATCCCAGGACCCTGGGATCATGACCTGAGCCGAAGGCAGACGCTTAACGACTGAGCCACCCAGACGTCCCCCTGCCCCTCATCTTTGAAAGAGGTTGCTTACTAGGGCTTCTTTTGTTCCTGCATCTGGCCTAATGGAGCTTAGATCTGAACAGTCTGGCTGAGCCTCTACGGGGATAGCGTCATTCCCATTTGGGGTGATGAGCTAGGTGTTGCTTGTCCCCCCACCCCCGCCCCAGCTCTGCAACAAGCCCACCTCAAGTTTTGCTGCAAAGGCAGTGAGATCCTGGCACTCAAAAGTTCTTCAGCCCTTTTTGCCCCAGCCTTGGCACTCTGATCAGCCCTTGATCACTCTTCTCTGTGTCCCAACGGAAGATTTGCCGCCGTTGTCCTTCCCCGGGCTCCCTGGGGCCCCACCAGGGGCTGTGTATGGCCCAAGCCTCTGAGCTAGAATGGATCCTGCCAATTTGCTGGTACTGCCTTCAGGTGCCATGCACTTTGAAATGTGCGAATCAGAGAGTAACTCTTTTGGAATTCGGCCCCTTTCCCCAGAGTGCTCAACTTGGAAGGGGAAGACCCTTACACTCTCATAAAAGTGGGAAGCCACCTCCCAGGCTACCTGTTCCCCGCCCCCCAATGCCAGGATTCCTACGGTAAGTAGCCCGTGTAAGTAATCTCCAGTGTCTACTTGCTTGTGGAAACTGGCTACTTCCCAAGAGACTCTGCATGTTTAACAGCTTTCCATGATAACGTCCTTTTCCTGAGCCTAAAATGCGCCTCTCTGACCCTTGGCCCTCCTTCCATGCCCCAGGACCCACACATGCTTTAAATATTCGGTGAGAGCATGACGGTCTCCCTCCAGCCCTCTCTGGGCTTCTCTAGGCTACATGTGTCTCCAGGCTACTTTCTCCAGAATCTAGGCCACGGGGACATTCTAACCCTTTCTGTCTGCCCACCTTCCTTCTCTTCGGGGCTTTAACAAATACTATTATGAGATACGTTTCCGACAGCAGTCTGTTGGAACCGAGGTGGCGGAATCTCTAAGTTGGAAGAACACTTCTTGGGCCAACGCATTACTTGTGACTTATTCTAACCGCCTGTTGTCTGCCAGTCATTCTGTTCATTGCCTGTCTGGGTCCCTGGAGCTGGTTTCAGTTGTTTTTCGTGGGTTTTGTCGTTACCTTCCCCCTCCAAAGCTTCACTCTTTCCACTTCTCCAAGTACTAACGTGAGAATCAGAAGCTACCCTCAGTTGGGGAGATCGGGGCTCTGAGCATGTTGTTGTTGCGTCTGAATTTCCTCCAAAGCTTCCGAGACATTCCCTCTGAGAGCTTCCTCACCCAGTGACCGCCGATTCTCACCCTGCTCTCAGGGGTGCTCCGGCTTCCCTGACCTCACGGGCCACTGGCACTAACCCACTGAGCAGAGGGATTCCCGCTCTGTGTGCATTGTCTTTGCAGAGGGAAGGTGGTGGGGTCATCTGCTGGCTTCTTCCCACTTCGTCTTTGCCCTTTCAACACAATTGCCCCCCCTCCCCCCATGCTCCGGCCTCGCTCACCCCCTTCTCGCCTGCGGGCCCCTGGCCAGGCTGGTGGTGAAATGGGAAGGCCAGTAGGTGTTCAATCACTAAACTACTGGTTGTCTCCTTTCCCTCCACTGCATGGTCCCCCGCTCCCCAGGGTGGGCCTGCAGGGATCTCCTGCCACAAGGCTCTGTTGAAAGGCCCCACTTCCGACTGCAATCCGGGGGGTGACCAGCTGCAGGGCCTGTGAGGCCTGGAGACATGCACCCTGAAGGTAAACCCAGCACCTCTCTGCCTACAATTTTACCTGTGGAAATGTTTCCCTTTATAAAGTGGCAGATACTATCTGGATATGATGGTCTAGGCTCAGATGGAAGGAATTGGGTGTTATCCTTCTTGGGGCCTGTGTGGACAACTGAGGCTTACAGCCTCACTGACTCCCCCTGAAGAGCCAGTGACAGGGCCTGGTGACCCTGAGCACTCTCTGAGGGCAGAGGACCCAGGGACAGCGTATTCTGCACCTGGGCTTTGTCCTGGGCACTAAGATGGCCAGGCTGTCAGGTTCTGAATGTCAGAACTCAGATGGCCTGAGCATGAGGGTTCCAGGACACCGCTCCCTCCTGCCATCTCTGGTAGAATTACATTATAATGAGCCTTTGCCAGCCCTGGTGCCCTGTGGAAAAGCACCCAAAGGCTACGAGTCCTCCGGTGGATATAAACTGCATTCATTTGGCTGGGACCAGTGGACACATCCTGCAGGTGGGGACCTCAGCCTTAGGGCTAAAATTGCCTGACATTAGTTTTGAGGTCCCTTAAGAATCTATATCCTGCTGGAGGGAGAAGGGACCAGGAGAGACCCAGTCTGAGGGAGGAGGCCCAGATAAGGGAAGAGGAGACGAGCAGAAACAAGATTCAGGAAAATTAAATAGTTAATTACAGAAAAATAAAAACTATGAAGAAACTAGTTTTTTCAAAAAGGAGGTGAGGGGCAACTGGGTGGCTCAGTTCGTTAAGCGTCTGACTCTTGATCTCAGCTCAGGTCTCCCATCTCAGGGTTGTGAGTCAAGCCCCGCCTTGGGCTTCATGCTGGGCATGAAGCCTACTTTAAAATAAAGGGTGGGTGAGGGGGTGATGACTTACTTGCTTTTGCAGTGGGGAGGATCTTTTTAAGGATAAGACCAAAAAGAAATAATCCTAAGGGAAAAAATAGATTTGACTATATATGATGTAAAACGTGTTTACTAAAAACAAAACAACAACAAAGCCACTATGAGTTTAGAAGAAAACCTTTGCAATATTTAGAGCAAGAGCTTTTAAAATTAATTTAAAAAGGATGAGGCATCCAGTTTTAAAAAGGGAAAGGACCTAAAGAATCAATCCACAGAAAAATGTATACTCAAGGCTAATAAGTTCACAATAAAAATGTTTTACCTCGG